GTATGCACCGATTGCTGCAAAGTGGACCCATAAGGAGCTCATGGACAAGCCTGCTATCTTTCGGGAAAGCATATAGTCCAAAAGAAGAAAACTTGGGGGGCTACAAGTCTTTGATGGCCCATACAGAAAAATGTCCCCACTTGGCAAAATAGCATTTTCTAGTGGACTCCTTCCCAGAAAAGATGCTCTGTACTGCATCAGAACACAATATTTTTAAAACTATTTACAGATAAAGGAATAAAGACGAAGCTTTGGACAATGAAGGTTCCGACCCACCCTTTATCTCCTCAGTGGCAGCGAGAAGGAACTGGAGAGGTGGTTGGTCCAAACTACCCTTTATCTCCTCAGTCAGATGCACAAGGAGACTGAGGCAATGTGTGGACCAACAGGCACTGCTTCCAAAATTCTCCAGCTCCACATGCATCAAGCGCATTCCTACCTACAGTCGAATACACATGGGGCCAGCACTTGAAGAACAGATACGGCTAGCTGTGCAGTGAATAGATCGGGATGTCTACAGTAGTGCAGCACTCAGATGTAGCTCCTGTCGGTAGCCAGAGACAATCCTTATATGAACACAGCCTCGTGTAGAGGCAGGGGAGACGCACATTTTCAGGAAATCAAAACTACACATCTAGACCGGCGGTTCTCAAACTGTGGGTCAGACCCCAAAGGCTGTCGTTAAACTTACTGGGGCCCGGTCCTAAAGCAAAGTCCAAGCCCCACCACCCAGGGCTGAAGCTCTCAAGCTTCGGCACCCCACATGGTGGGGGTGCTCAGGCTTCGGTCCCCCTTTCTGGGGTCTTCTAGTAATTGTAGTTGTCAGAAGGGAGTCGCGGTGCAGTGAAGTTTGAGAAACCCTGTTCTAGACCCTTCTCTATTGTCACAGAATTTAAACTAATTAATAGACTTCTCCAGATAGCTTCCTAGTGGACATCTGCTTAGAAGTGTAATGTAGGACAATTAAATGCTCCTACAAAGGTTTGACACCAGTAATTATTTTTTGTGAAAAGACATAAGCAAAAAATAAAGGTTCTCTCGTATGTTGCCAGTGGTCTACATTTTGGTTTCCTGCATCAGTCCCCTTTTAAGAGAAATACCATTTGTTTGTAACTAAAAAAAAAAAATGATGAATGTATTTCTAGGTTACAGTTAGGCTGGAATTTTAAAAGCTGCTTTATCAACGCCCTGCTATTTTGATCTGATTATAAAGAAAAATATCATGAAAGGGAATTAAGAAGGGCATTATTTTGTTTTTTTTTAAACATATGTCTGGTCAGAAAATAAATCAGTAAGGCTTTGTTCACAAATATGAAAGAAAATAAATTGTACAGACCTTAATATAGTCTAGATATTGTTTTAGAAAAATAAACAAATCAAATGTTGACATTTATGACAAAAAAGCTCAATTTCAGAAGGGAGATTTAATGAAATGAACAATAAAAAATGGCACTTCAGTTACTGTCAGTTAAGAACAGGCAAAAGCAACTTAAAAAAATAAAAGGGATTTTTGTTCTGAACTGTTTCTTGAAGTTTTTAAGTTTTGAGGCTGTAAAACCAGGCCACTCGCTTACCCAGGACTGAAAGAGAAGAGAACGGATAATTTAATTCTAACAAGGGAAAGACAGGGACATACACTAATTCACAAAAAAACTGCAAGTTATGAAAAACCAACCTAACTAAAAAAAACCACAAAAAGACCCCCACCATGTTTGCAGTCTTATGAGAAGGGAAATAATATATTAAAATAGAAGTCTGCTTTTCTCTGCAGACTGCATTTTCAAGAATCATTTCAGCACCTTAATTTAGATATTTGCTGTAGCAGCAACTTTTCTTTTTCAGAAGAACCCATTATTGTCTGGGCTCCGATCAATTCAGGAGCTGTACATCACTCAGAGAAAAATGAAGGGCAGAAGAAAATATAAAATTTAATATAGCCATCGTCCTTCACAGATTAAATGGGCTAGAGCTCATAAAAAAAAAACAATGTATTCATACTCATCAATATACTCCTTTCCATATGTAAATGTTAACACATTACTACCAGATTTCATAGTCATGACAAAGCCTGCTAAAAATAAGTTCTGAAAACATTTTCAGAAATTAAATTTTATTGTGATACTATCACATATTCTTCCTGATCAAGAGAGAATTTTAGGAGTAGAAGTGTTTAAACTGAATTTTTATACTGTTTATAAGGAGAACTTCACTGGTAGCATGCTGTAATGTCCAAAGCTATAGGCTGAAGGGACTGTTGCCCATTAGATTTTATATTTATAAGTACATAGGGCAGCAGTTTTTCCTTTTAAACTAAAAGATTCAGTCTAGCATACATACAATATATGTCTTGTTATATGTTATTAACATATCTTTTTACATTCTAAGCATGACGCAGCTTCAGTTACATAAGTCGGACATATTCAGTTACGGACATAAGTCTAGTCTAACTTACAAGATCATGCACTCAGCACTGATCTAACTCTGCTTTCCACTGAAGTTTTACCATTAACTTCAATTGGATCAGAATAAGGCTAACATTTAGCATTTTTGGAAATCCCACCCCAGTCAACAATAGGCCCAAAAATAAGATTGGCTGCCAATAGAAACGTAAGTGAGACTTCTCCAATTTTACAGTGTTTTTTTGTCACATCCACATTACAACTTTGAATGGAATTTTCAAAAGTACCTAAGGAGTAAGGCACACATTGAAAGTCAGTGGGAGTTGGATGCCCAAGTCCTTCAGATGCCTTTGAAACTCCCACCTTTCAGAGTATTTAATTTACTTTTAAGTAATGTGGATAACAAATGTTTAAATCAACAGCTGCTAAACCAAAAAAGCAGGAGCAGAAAAAGGATTTCCACATATTATGATTTCTGGAAACTTTGCACCGAAGTTTTCAAAAGTAGGACCCTAAAGTTAGGCTCCTAGTTCTCCATTTAGGCACCCAAATAAGTGGCCTGATTTGCAAAAGATTTGAACAGCTCCCCAGAGACTGACGTCCATGGGAGCTGCTGGCTGCTGAGCACATATGAGAATGAGGTTGTGTATTTGTCAAGGGAGGCAAGCCTTGCTTTCAGCTTGATGGCCTTTCTGTCTGCATGTCGTACAATGACTTTTGAACTTTCTATCTGATCAATTCCAAAATTTCAGGGAATATTCTAGGCTTCATTGGGCAGAATCCTATTGATTTTGGTAAAAACTGGAAAACCAGAAAATCCTCAACCCACTCCAGTCTGCTTGACCCTCACAGGATCCCTCATCCCTTCCTATTTTTGGCCAGTCCCCCCCAGCCAGGCCTCTCTCTCCCATTAGTAGGACCCTCGCCAAACAGGTACTCAAAATACTTATGGGGAGGGGACATGGGGTCCAGCTGGGTTTACAGTTTGGCCTGCTTTAGCAATGAAGTTTGCAAACCTCTAGTTTAGATGCCTAAATGTGGATTTAGAAGCCTAATTTTAGGCTCCCACTTTTGAAAATCAGAGTCTTTGTAAATGTACAGAATTTTTTTCTACTCTTGAAACGGCCTCTATGATCTTACTCCAAGATAGAGACCAGAACTAAAAGCAAACTTCTTCATTCAGCTGTACAAACAAGGTACTTTAATACTTGAGAGCTTTTAGGATGGATATAAAACTAGTTCTCTGGCAGACACACACTCTCCATGCTCAGCAGGATATTCTGTTATAGGGAAAGGGGAGTAGATACGTTTCAGTGACTTGATAGTGTTCATGGAGATTCTACAACATGAAAACAAACAGCCTCTCTCATAAGATTCTGAATCCTGATATTCTTTCTCAAACTGAACAGCCAATTAGAAGAAAAAGTGTACTCTATTATGTGATTCATTGACTGAATTACCTATTTCAGAGTAGGTTGCACAGCATGGAATTTCTTCTGTGCCATCTTATGGAACATCAACAGTGTCTCCTCAACAACTACAACCCTTCTGTGTTTTCCAGCTGTATGTTTACTTGCTGTAATAACTCTAATAGAACAGCTGGACAGCATTCAATAATAATATTGGTTCAAACTATTCAATGGAACAAAATAATTTAATCACATGCAATCATATATTTCAACAGTCCTTTGTGGATTTTAGCTCTTCTTATTTCATAGCAATTACTGTTTACATTTTCTTCTTAATCATCTTCCTTGGCTTCAACATTGCTTTACTATAGCAAGGGATGGGCAAACTGGTTTGGGAACAGTAAAGAAGCAACAAACTGTATCTAACCAAAACTTTTTAAAAGTTTTAAACTGTTCAGGGGAGTCCTCCTGTCTCCGTATCTTTGAGCTTCCTGTTTTTTGTTTGAAATTTTGATAGGGATTTTTGAGTGATTCCAATCTCCATTTTGAGCTGTGGTTTCTGAGTTTTTTTGTTTGTATGTTTTGTTTTTTACACTTTGTCATTGCCATTAAAGGGGAGGAGACATTACTGAGTATGACACAAAATCATACTTTTGCTGCTGGACTACTGAGGTAGCCTAAAGTTGGCTCAGGTGAAGATTCATAGATGTGCACTGAAACTGCTGGCAGATAAACCAGGGTCTCAGTCATCCTCAGAGTGTGATTCCTCATGGCCTACAAAGTTATCATCAGTTCCTATTGGTTCACACTTTCAAGACAACAAGCAATCCAAATCAAAATCTTTGGCAGCCTCTACTGTGAATGCCTGAATGCAGGGACACAACAGTGAGGAGAGGAAGGGGTTTACTCTTCTATATACATCCTCAACACAGTGACACAAATCATAAAAGCACCAAACACGAGCTCAAGGAGATGAAGTCAGTATGGATGGTTGGAAGTGACCACCCCATAGGACACCACATCTCAGGGGAGCATTATGAGTTTGGAAGGAACTCCGCTGTATAAAGGAACCTTCTTTGCCAGCTGTTTCATTTAACTTCCCCCAACTTTCTACCTCTATGAAGCTATTCTGTATTTTCTCTTTTAATTTCTGTACTGACACACACCATATAAAGTGATTACATTCTCTTACCAATATTAGGGTGCTTCAAAAGGCGACAGATTCTAGCTTCCCTTTCCAATTTCTGGTGATCTGCAAGAAAGAGAAACACAACCATAAATTTTTTGTTTAATCATGAAAAGGCACATCATTCTATATGGTACTGAGTGTTGAAAAACATATGGTACAGTATGCGACATGGTGGTTAAAATGTATCCTCCTTCTCCTACTTAGAATCACCATGATTGTACATTTAAGTTGTATGTCACACTGAATCAAGGTACTACATCCACCCCTTGCTTTGCCTAGCTGCTCAACTTATAGTGGTTTTAGAAAATCAAGCTGCCTACTCAGTGGGAAATGGGACGTATTCACACCATGACCTATAATTATCAGATAATAAACTATGATTATAGAATTAATCAGAATGAAGACAGCCCTGAATCTTTAGAAGGATTCTAATCCTAGACTATGATGTGTTTCAGTGCTGCCTAAGTTACTCAGTACATCACCAATGAAGTGCTAATATTCCATTGTAAAGAGAACACTTTTCAACATGCTAGGGCATTCTACCAACATATAAAATGCATATAAAATCTCCCCACTATATTTTCCACTGTATGCATCCGATGAAGTGAGCTGTAGCTCACGAAAGCTTAAGCTCTAATAAATTTGTTAGTCTCTAAGGTGCCACAAGAGCTCCTTTTCTTTTTACTACCACAGTGATGCCGTAGGAGGATTCAGTAGCTAAATGACCAACAGCAGCATCCCCCCCACAATGCCTATATTACACTACTTCTCAGTTAAGCTGATTACCTGTTAGCCTCTTAAGAATAAATGGCTAAAAGGTGTTTCTTTGTTATGGGTTGCTCTAATGCAGGGTTGGAAATCTTTGGCATGCAGCCCATCAGGGAAATCCGTTGGCGGGCCAGGATTGTTTGTTTACCTGCAGCGTCCGCAGTTTCGGCTGATCGCAGCTCCCACTGGCTGTGTGGTTCACCATTCCAGACCCATGGGGCCTGTGGAAAGTCGCACGGGCCAAGGGATGTGCTGGCCACCACTTCCCGCAGCCCCCATTGGCCTGGAACAGCGAACCATGGCCAGTGGGAGCTGCGATCAGCCGAACCTGCAGACACTGAAGGTAAACAAACCGTCCCAGCTTGCCTGCGGATTTCCCTGACGGGCCGCGTACCAAAGGTTGCCGATCCCTGCTCTAATGTGATCCCTGTGGGCCAACACAGCCTAACAAACAAACAAAGAACTGGTTCATAAAAAGTTATAGATATCAGATGGCTGGAGAAATATATTTTTCTGATGGACCTTGTAATCTTGCTTTCAGGGTCCTGAAGGGAAAAACTTCCAAAGAGACAAATGGAAGGAAATTCCCTTCATTTGTTCCTTTTAATTGATGTGGACCAATTCCTCGTCATAATCCCTCCTCCTCTACTTGTTTGTGTTTTTGTAGTAGAATGATGTAAAGCACAATTGTTTTATAGCTGTGGAGTAACAAGATGACATGATATATGACCACATCTTTGAACACAACTTGAGGTCAACAAATTAAATTATCCATCTCTGACAACAGCAACAGGATCAGTAACAGAAGAGCATCAACATCTGTCTCACAAACACTGGATGTCATATCAACAGCATCTTACACACAGTATGCTGCTGCTCAAGGGCAACTATGTTGCTATATAAACTAAGGCCCATAAATTAAACTATAGATCTTTTCATGTCATCATCATCATGTTTACAAAGTGTTATAGCCTCCTCTTTCTTCCAGAGCAGAGTCCACTTTAGCAGCAGTCTCACTGTTGCTTGGCCTCATAAGCCAGTGTGCAGATGTTCAAGGGAATATGAAAATGCATACAAAGGAAAATATAATGAGTATAATAGATAAACAGTAAACTGGAAAATGGAATCACTCCAAGCTCCCCCTTTGCTGATCTCATATGCAGAAAAAGGAAAATCAACTGCAGTACAGTCAAATGAGCCAGAAAAAAGTAAGATAGAAACAGCTGTTGACTGACACTAGTTCTAGGTTGTCTTTGATATTGTCTGTCTGCCAAGTGGAATCAACTCCCGACCACTGAGGCTAGCTCTCTCTCTCTCTCTTTCTCTCTTTGGCCCCCACTTACTAAATCAACTAAAATGGTGACCAAAAAATACAATGCCTGCTGTGTGTACATGAAGGTTTTCACTGAAAGGTTTTCTGTATAGGGCTGAACAAGATGCACCATATTTGTTATTAGTGCTCAAAGTGTTTCTTCATATTATCCCTCTCCTCCATGTCCTGTTCTTCAACACCACTAGCACCAGCTGAATGGCCTAGCTTTAGTAATCATATGGATTCAGGCATGTGTGTATTTTAACGAAGACAGTGCCTGCAGGGAGAGAGGTATGCCTTTAACAGAATAAAGCACCTTATGTGCTAAAAAGACAGCTGAAGTAAACACTTACGGGGAGACAGCTTAAGTGTTAAATAGCTACATGAAACAGGGCTGGCCACATATCACTCTTCACCTTCCAGTACAGAGAAGTGTCTTTATGGGCAGACACAACAATGGTAGCTGGCAGATATCTATCGACCCTCTCTGTGGCCATAGCTTTGGTTGATTCTTCTTGTAGCTTTGGGAAAATCCCGACAGTCCTGCAGGCTGTCTCCACTATAGCCGTAGCTCCAGAACCTGTTGGACATGCTCCTATTTGTGACATGATGCTGCCTAGCATTTGAACAGGGCCCTTCCGCAGGCACTTAGTTAATTATTCTTTGCTTCCAGTGGTTTTTGTCCTCTGTGTTTTTCAATCTGAGGTCCTGTAAGGCCTCAAGTTACTGACCTTATTGTAACAAGATCTTCGAAATGTGTAGTCCCTATCTGTATTTCACTGTGCAGTACACATGTGCACCAAGAACCAGAAGACTCTTCCAAGAAGTGTCCATTGGTCTGCACCTGCACTCTTGCTCTTCTCCTTCACAAGGATGTAAGAGATGGTGTGGACTGACCACCTCTCTAGTTCCTTCTCTACCACAAATCATTTAGGTCTGGTCTACACTACGAGTTTATGTTGGATTTAGCCGCGTTAAATCGAATTAACCCTGCACCCGTCCACACAACGAAGCCATTTTTTTGATATAAAGGGCTCTTAAAACCGATTTCTGTACTCCTCCCCAACGAGGGGATTAGCGCTGAAATCGACATTGCCATTTCAAATTAGGGTTAGTGTGGATGCAATTTGAAAGGTATTGGCCTCCGGGAGCTATCCCATAGTGCACCATTGTGACTGCTCTGGACAGCGCTCTGAACTCTGATGCACTGGCCAGGTGTACAGGAAAAGCCCCAGGAACTTTTCCTCTCATTTTCTGTTTGGCCAGGCGAGCTCATCAGCACAGGTGACCATGCAGTCCCAGAATCGAAAGAGAGCTCCAGCATGGACTGAATGGGAGGTACTGGATCTGATCGCTGTATGAGGAGATTTCAGAGTAGCAGCCGTGTTAGTCTGTATCCGCAAAAAGAAAAGGAGTACTTGTGGCACCTTAGAGACTAACCAATTTATTTGAGCATAAGCTTTCGTGAGCTACAGCTCACTTCATCGGATGCATTCAGTGGAAAATACAGTGGAGAGATTTATATACATAGAGAACATGAAACAATGGGTGTTACCATACACACTGTAACGAGAATGATCACTTAAGGTGAGCTATTACCAGCAGGAGAGCGAGGGGGGGGGAACCTTTTGTAGTGATAATCAAGGTGAGCCATTTCCAGCAGTTGACAAAAACGTCTGAGGAACAGGAGAGGGGAGGGATAGCTCAGTGCTTTGAGCATTGGCCTGCTAAACCCAGGGTTGTGAGTTCAATCCTTGAGGGGGCCATTTAGGGATCTGTGGCAAAAACTGGGGATTTGTCCTGCTTTGAGCAGGGGGTTGGACTAGATGACCTCCTGAGGTCCTTTCCAACCCTGATATTCTATGATTCTATGAACAGTGGGGGATGCGGGGGGGGGGGAATAAACATGGGGAAATAGTTTTACTTTGTGTAATGACCCATCCACTCCCAGTCTTTATTCAAGCCTAAACCCTGGTCTACACTAGGACTTTAGGTCGAATTTAGCAGCGTTAAATTGATGTAAACCTGCACCTGTCCAGATTGTTTGCCGTTGCTCTGACACAGGGAGGGACGACTGACGACACAGCTTACAGGGTTGGCTTACAGGGAGCTAAAATCAACAAAGGGGGTGGCTTTACATCAAGGAGTACTTCAGGCAGGACTTCACGGAGGGTTCCAATAAGAAATGGTGCACCTAAGTTATTGTTCTTATTGGAACAAGGAGGTTAGCCTGGCCTCTGATTGATACATGGTTAGATTTACCTCGCTGCACCTTCTCTGTGAGTGACTTCAGTGTGACCTAGAGGAATGAGTCCCCTAGACGGGGGGCGGGGGCGGTTGCAAATGAGTACAAAACAAATCTGGTCTATTTCTTGTTTTGATACACTCCATCTATCTTTTACATCTTTGGCTGGCAGTAGACGGTGCATGCCATCCACATCTCATAGCTGCTCAGCAGAAGATGGTACAATAGGACTGCTAGCCATCCTCATCTCTTGCCTGCCCGGCAGAAGATGATGCAATAGGACTGCTAGCAATCCGTATCACCTGCCTGCTCACCATAAGATGGTTCAATAGGACTGACTGCAGGACTAAAGAGAATGACCTGGTCAAGTCACTCCAAATTTAGTCCCTGCGCCCATGTCTGCCCAGGCGCTCCTGATCGACCTCACACAGGCGACCAGGAGCACCTCGGACATGACGATGACAGCTACCAGTCCTATTGCACCGTCTGCTGCCACAAGGCAATGGGTTGCTGCTGCTGTGTAGCAATGCAGTACCGCGTCTGCCAGCACCCAGGAGACATACGGTGACAGTGAGCTGAGCGGGCTCCATCCATGTAACTCAGGAAAAAAGGCGCAAAACGATTGTCTGCCCTTGCTTTCACGGAGGGAGGGAACGAACAGGAGCCTGACGATATGTACCCAGCACCACCCGCGACAATGTTTTAGCCCCATCAGGCATTGGTATCTCAACCCAGAAT